CCTCCCCCCGACCCCCGCCCGGCTGTATCGCAGGCACCACAAAAGGGGGTTGTAAACATTACAGGCAACCTGAGCGTTTCCTGCGTCTCGCTCCCTCCAGGAGACCACAGTTGCAGACCGTCTCATACGTTATGTCCAAGTCACTAGCAGGGCGCTTTCAGCTGTGAGCATCGGTGGCAGAAAAACCTTTAACCCTAAGGAAACGCAGCCCAGATGCTGTGACTGTGAAATGCTTGTAGTGTTCCATGTCTGCCCGCTGCGGTAGAGTGATCATGTCTGTTTAAAAGACGAGGAACTGCTTCCCAGGGGCCAAGCGGCCTCCTCTGGGTCATGGCTTAGGATCGCGTTTGGCTGTCATTCGTAACAGGAAAGACATTTAATTTCCTGACCTGATACGTACACAGACACCGCCAGCACCCCTGTGCCCCCCATAAGGGAAACAGTGCCTGTTCATACTCTGTGTGATGCTGTGTTGTTTTTTTTTCATGAAAAAAACGCTCATCATGAACTTTCCTGAGTGATTCACTCATGGGTCCTGACCCTCAGTTTGCAAAGCTGTGCTCCGGGTCCCATGTTGGTGGTGCAGGAGGGACCGGAACTCAGACCCTCTGGGTTTCTAGTCAGATTCAATCACAGCAACCGTTTCTTCCCCCAACAGTCAGATAGTTGCGTTTGCTGCGACTTAGAATTTAATAAACACCCTTTTCCCCCTTCGGGGTAGGCCAGAGCCCATCTTTTTATTCACCGTTTCTAATTAAAGATGCAGCAGATATGAAAGGCCATCACATACACTGTCGCTGTCCCTTGAAGGGCACGTGGGCTTCCTCCTGGGATTTTTAAAAAATATATTGTTATTGATCGTGGAAAGGGAGAGAGAGAGAGAGACATCAGTGATGAGAGAGAATCAATGATTGGCTGTCTCCCTCATGCCCCACACTGGGGATGGAGCCAGCAACCCGGGCTTGTGCCCTGACCGGGGATCGAACCTCGACCTCCTGGTTCACAGGTGGACACTCAACTACTGAGCCACGCCGGCCGGGCCCCCTAGCATCTTGTGACAAGGAGGGGAGGAAGGCACTGAGGCTGTCTTCTGGGTTCTGGCTTGGACAGCAGGGTACATGCAGGCGCTGCTTTCAGAAGAGGCACTTTCGTAGGCGGCAGGTTTGTGGTGGGAGGTAAGAGTTCTGCGCGGTCACCTGGAGTTGGCCAGGCGGTCAGACACCCAGGCGGCTGTACCCAGGGGGAACCAGCCCCGAGCAAGGTTCTGATTGAAGAGCATCATTCGGTTTATGTGCGATGACCGAAGTGATCAGCCTAGATCAGACTTCATTAATTGTGTTGACTTCGATGGTGTGGTCTGCTCGTCCAGCCTCAGATTTAAAGCGACAGGCCCTAAATGCCCAAAGAGCAGTCATTGAAGCACTTTCGTAGGACGGGTAGCGGGGTCTCTCCGGGAAGAAAGATGAGCTCCCCTGGAGAGTGGGCAGTGAGCCCCACGTCATGGCCCTCTCTTGCTTCGCATGAAGGCATCCCCTGGCGACGGCATCCCTTATTTCTGTTTCTGTGACGG